CTACAAATACAGGAAACCATAATAAATATAAATAGACCAGACTTCAGAAATGGATGTGAGGTCCCCAACAGTGTTTAAATACCAAACAATAAATGCCTTGCTTCTAATTTTACCAAGAGTTTATTCTGAACCCTCTAATTATAGAACTGTAAAGCAGTATCACAAGCTATAGCAGTGCAAATGCAGAGCTGTGCCTTAATCATTATGTACAGAATGTAATGACAGTATTTCAGGGACATATGTTAAAGAGCTGTAGAGGCATAGGGGCACTTTGATGTGGGAATAATGTTATTTGTAATAGTTTAGAAACATGAAGAATCTTTTTCTGGGGGTGGGGGGCGGGAGCTAAAATAACTGGGGAAAATGTTGATTAACATACTCCAACCACTGCCTATGTGTGTGTCAAATTACAATACAAAGTATTTAAGTATTCAGGGTCCCTATCCCTCAATGTAGGCTGTTTGGAGAAGCTTTTTGAGTACAACTAGGCATGTCAAAATGGGACAAATGTTAAATATGCCCTTTTTCAGCAGGTTTTGCTCATGCCCAGTGTCCTTTAAGAGGAATTTCAAGAGCCTCACAGTGAATTGCCAAAGTGTGAAAGCATGCTATTGGCCTCTCTATTCAGAGGACAAATTGGCTAATAGTCACAGAGGGTGGTCTTACAGTGCCCACAGTAGAGAGAAGCCGGCTTGGGAGTAACACAGAGAGAGCACAGAAGCCCCTGCCGTCTTCCCAATGTAAGCGAATAATATTATTTTTTTGTTTTAGTTCATCTTGTACCATTACAGAGAGAGTGTAAACTATTTATATATTAGACTGATCCCACTCAAAAGGACAATACAAGTCCAAAATACAGGCCAGCTCCCTCTGCATGAGAGATGCGGCAACCCCAGATGATCGTTTCAGCCATGTTAGGCCTCATCAGTGAGGTATAAGCAATATCCCTCTAGGCACAGTGAGCACAGGAGCTCCTGGCCCAGCAAGAGGTCCACCCGGATTACCATTTTACCTTCGGGAAAGCAAAACAAAAAAACAAAAAACAAACTGATAATTGACAACTGTTTAACAAGCTTGGCCTTCAATTAGTTTTTTTTAATTTGACCAAAATATTTAGCTCTGATTTGCATGTTTAATTTTGTGTATTATATCTTTAAGCATAAAGATATGTTTGTTATTCTTCATCTTAATTCTTCCTTTTCTCATTCCCCCTCCCCCACATTCTAAAATACTTCCTTTTAACTGGCTCCTGTAATATGCACTAATTTTAACAGCTCACTTGCTGCCCTTCACCTACCCTGCAGTGTCCAATATCACCATTGTACAGGTCATCAGGAAGCACAGCAAAGGTGTCTGGGAAGTGTAATTCAGCTGGCAGAAAGCTTATAATAAAACTAAATGCCCAGAAACCCCTGCTATGAGCAGAACTGAGGCTGAGCACAGAGAGCTTTGAAATCTCCTAATAAATATATTTTCCCTGCACAATGTGAAGATAAACAGGCAGTTTGAGAGTGTGTTATCTCTTATTTAGGCTAGGGTATTTGGCATTTATACTCTCTGAAAAGAGTTTAAAGGACCACTCTAGGCACCCAGACCACTTCAGCTTAATGAAGTGGTCTGGGTGCCTGGTCCAGCTAGGGTTAACCCATTTTTTTTATAAACATGTCAGTTTCAGAGAAACTGCTATGTTTATAAATAGGTTAATCCAGCCTCCAGTGCTTCTCACTGTGAAAATCACAGTGAGAAGACGCAAGCGTCCATAGGAAAGCATTATGAATGCTTTCCTATGAGACTGGCTGAATGCGCGCATAGCTCCTGCCGCGCATGCGCATTCAGCCGAAGAGGAGGAGAGGAGGCGGAGAGCTCCCCGCCCGGCGCTGGAGAAAGGTAATATTTTAACCCCTTCCTCTCCCCAGAGCCCGGCGGGAGGGGGTCCCTGAGGGTGGGGGCACCCTCAGGGCACTATAGTGCCAGGAAAACGAGTATGTTTTCCTGGCACTATAGTGTTCCTTTAACCCCTTAAGGACCAAACTTCTGGAATAAAAGGTAATCATGACATGTCACACATGTTATGTGTCCTTAAGGGGTTAAACAGCCAGTTACCATTTTGCACTTGAAGCACTGGGTTACATATATTTAACAGTTCAAATTCTCCAGAATAGAATGAGAAGTTTGTGATTGGCCAAATAATCTCCTGACAGAGGCAAAGCACAAGGCTATTAATGTACTGTGTGGGAATTAGCACAACATTTGAGAACTTTAATAGCGTCTCAAGCACATTTTTTGATCTTTTATTTTGGATTGATTTTTTTTTTTTTTTTGCATATTTTCAGTTCCAACCTGGAGTGCCCCTTTAATTTGCAGTAGAAAAATCCATGTTACTTAATTAGTCTACTTACAACTACAACTACAATGAAAAGATCACCACACTTACCAAGCTCCTTTTCCCTTTGGATAACACTTCCTGCCACCTGTAGAAAAGAAGATAGCACTTTAACAACAGAATGTTCCTAACCTGGTTTCTCTATTTTTATTTACTTTCAGCAATAGGATTTGCCGGGGCCACACGGCACTAAGTACAGACAGCCCTTGGTTTCTAGCAACCTTTAAAGTGAATGGCAAGCCATTTGTCTCGTGTTTACTCTTTCTTCTTTTAAACTGGAAGTTTGGACAAAAAAGGACCTTCCAACTGCTGATCCACTCAGAGAGATAGGTAGAAAGTAGCAGAACTGCTGAAGGTGCAAATCTTCTCTATTGCATTCGTTATTTTTGTGAGGAGAAAATAAGTTGAAGTAATGATACATGTTTTGGCTGGATTTAAATGGTTATATGTAGAAGTTGAGCAAAAAAACAACATATGAAAAAGAAGATATAGACTAGATGTCATGGTTCTTAACCTCTGGTTTGGGACCAAGTACTAGGCCCCTATACTGTTTCAGTGGGCCCACAGTAGTTAAAGCAGGCATATCATGATCTTCAGGCCCGAAGTAGCCACATATATCAGTTACTGTAGCAGCATTGCATTCCCATGTGTAATAGAGACTTAAAGGACCACTATAGGCACCCAGACCACTTCAGCTTAATGAAGTGGTCTGGGTGCCAGGTCCAGCTAGGGTTAACCCTTTTTTTATAAACTTTTCTCTGAAACTGCTATGTTTATAATAGGGTTAATCCAGCCTCCAGTGGCTGTCTCTTGACAGCCGCTAGAGGCACTTGCGTGCTTCTCACTGTGATTTTCACAGTGAGAAGATGCCAGCGTCCATAGGAAAGCATTGTGAATGCTTTCCTATGGACTGGCTGAATGCGCGCGCAGCTCCTGCCGCGCATGCACATTCAGCCGAAGAGGAGGAGAAGAGAGGGGAGAGGAGGAGGAGAGCTCCCTGCCCAGCGCTGGAAAATAGGTAAGATTTAACCCTTTCCTCTCCATCCAGCCCGGGTTGTAAAATAGCCTGGGGAATTAACGTTCTACAAATATATACTTTTGCATAGCGTTTTTAGATTCTGTGACTACTATAAAAGTTGTAATAGTAGCATGCCAAATTTTAGCTTTAAAACCGTAATTCACGCCTCGCAATATTTGTTTTCTAAATTAAAAAAACAATATTGGAGTTCTAGACATACAAGACATTTTAACAATCAGGACAGGTTAGTGAATCTATTTTGAGTTAGTTTTCTTTAGCACTTGTTGTGTAGAAATTATGAATTGTTAAACAAAGAAAAAAACTAGTTTTAGTTTTTTTCATTTTTAATACATTTTATTCAGATTTGATATTGTGTTATGTGTCCATTTAGGGTATAAAACAAAAGCCCTACGTATTCTTTAATAAATTATGTATATTTTGGGTGCACTTGAACAGAAAGGCAGAAACTGTGGTAGAATAAACGCATTACAAAAGTGCCAAAAAGGCCTTGGTCACAGATATGTTACATCTCAAAATAACTTTGGCTCTTTGGGGTTAAAAACACTGATGTGATGCCTCCTTTTGGCAGGCATTTCAGTGCAATGTTACCCAACCTCCCACAACAAGTATTTAAATTAAGTGCTTAATGAAACTGAATAAGTGAAAAAGAATTTGGGACCAGCCAACAGGAAGCTTAACAACAGTTTTTCATTGTGTGCTTTGGAATGCGGACAGGATACAGTAACAATAAACCATGAACAGAAAGCTTCAACAGTACTGGAATCACCAGGAAATAGGTTTAATCGTCATATCAGAATAGGACAGTCCCGTGTGAATTAGTGATGGAAAAATATAGAACTCACCTGGGTCACATAAGATGTAATGCTGCTGATCAATTTCTGGCATGACTCTTTTTTGTTGAACTCATCAAGGTCAAATTCAGCATCAGGAGATACGCCTCCCATTGTGTTAATAATCTGTAGGCAGTGCAGCTTGTCCCACATGCCCTGGGTTTGAACCTATAGTTGGATGGGGCAAACATGGCATTTTGAAATTTTGTTTCCAAATCTTCATTGTTTCTCTTTAGTCTGTATGACACTGCATGTATGCTTTCGTAACATACATTTAAAGTGTAACTGTTAATCGTGAGACTTTTATACAACCATATAGCTAACTATACTTGTTTTTCAATAAAAATTCTCAGTAGTTTTTTATTTTTTTTATTTTTTTTATTTACAAGGCATGCTTTACTGTCATTAAACATCTTTCCAGTTGTTTTAGGCTAGCATTTTAACAATGTCTGCTGTGGGCTGTATCTTGAATTTCTTTAATAAAGTAAAAAGAGTATTATTACTTTTTAGTATAAGCAGAAAAGGTTGTTGTGTATGTTAATGTATATATAAGGCATTGTATTCGTGTGGATGCATGTAAAGAGCATGCATGGATATTCGGATTTATGATCTTCATGTGTATCTATATGAAACTAATATATGTTTCAAACAGTGTGTGTTTATATGTGCCTTTGTGTATGTAAGGCTCCATGCATGTGTAGATGTACGTGTAATGCACTGTTTGTGTCTGATAATGCATGTACGTATTTATATGCAAGAGGAAAGTAAGAAAGAAATAAAGAAAGAAACTGACTCTTGGGAGTTTTTTTTCACTAAATTATGATATGAAAAGTGTCTTAGAAACATATTTCCGTAGGCCAAAAAGCTGAGTTAGAACAATTATCCAGCTCAGCTGAGGTGGAGGCCTTTTGTGCTCTTCTCTTTTGACCTAGTTTTTTCAATTTATTTTTCAACTCTCTCTACAATATACTGTTTAGTGAACTTAACCCATCCAGACATAAAAAAAAACCAGAACAAAAAAGCAGAAAACCAGTCAGAAAACACTGATAAAAAAATAGACACTGGAGAGAATGAGACAAAATGAGCAAAGAAACCGTTACCATACAGACTGCTGGGGGAAATAGAATGTTGAGAGATGAGGAATAAAAGCTAAAGACGGAGAGACCTGTCGCTATGCTTTGAGTTTGGCTACTCTGGCCTTAAATGTGAAATTCATTTTGAATTCTCACTCCAATGACTAACCCGGATTGTTGCAGTGTAAGCATGCAGAAGCCAAACACAGAAATATTGGACACAGGTCTTCAGGAAGTAACAGGCCTTTATTCACATTACCGATCGGGTCTCAGATGAACTCCTGTTCCAACATTCTGAGAGACCAACACATGGTGTACATTCCTTATATAGCACTATAACTCATCCCATTAATAGCTACACCCACATATACCTTTAACCAATCAATGAGCAGAATATAGACTTGTACATCTAGTCAAACCACATGGCTCATCCAAGACAAAGGAAATAAGTGCAATTTCAGTTTCTGCATTCCTGCACATGCTCAGTACACTGATGACAGTATCCTAGCTACATGTAGCTAACCAACTGACACAACATACACATATGCCACATGGAGATTTTGGCCTACTAAATTTTAACCATGCTGGAATCCCATCACAGGATAGTGTTTGACTTCTCTTTTTTTCTGCCATACATACAGCCTTCTTCCTATTTCTCACCTAAAGGGACACTATAGTCACCTGAGCAACTTCAGCTTAATGAGGGTGTTCAGGTGAGAACTATAGCTCCCTGCAGCCTCTCTCATGTAAACACTGTATTTTCTGAGAAAATACAGTGTTTACATTGGAAGCTATGAACACCTCCAGTGGCAGTGACTGAGTGAGTGTGAATGAGTAAGTGAGTGTGGGTGACTGAGTGTGGGTGAGTAAGTGAGTGTGTGGGAGTTAGTGAGAGATTGAGTGTGAGTGAGAAATTGTGTTTGAGTTTGTGAGTGAGAGATTGAGTGAGTGTGAGTGGGTGGGTGTGGGTGAGTGCGTGAGTGTGGGTAAGTGAGTGAGAGTTTGATATTAAGAGTAAGTGAGAGAGATTGTTTAAGAGAGTGATTGTGTGAGAGAGTGAGTGAGTGTGAGTGAGAGAAAGAGTGATTGTGAATGTGTGAGAGAGTGATTCTGTGAGAGAATGATTGTGTGAGAGAGTGAGTTTATGAGAGAGTGAGTGTGAGTGAGTGACTGAGTGTGAGTGAGTGAGAGATTGTGAGTGAGTGAGAGATTGAGAGTGAGTGTAAGAGAGTGATTGTGAGTGAGTGAGAGATTGAGTGTGAGTGAGTGAGAGATTGAGTGTGAGATTGAGAGTGAGTAATTGAGCCCTGCTACATCGTCATTTTGACGAAAAAGGTGGCGCGGGCTGTCGAGGAGCTCGGCGCTGCAATGGAGGTAAGTTTATATGATAAAAAGGGCTCGAATTTACTTTTTATTAATGGTAAGTTCATATAAAAGCAAGAAAGAAGGCTAGGGAACCTGTCTTTCTTGCTTTTATATGTTGACTATAGTTCTCCTTTAATGTGCACCTGGTGAAACGATAGTCCATTGCCTCTGATAACTAAGAGGAATCCCTGAGCTCCTTCCTGTATGCCTATTAAATGTGGATTGGGCAATAGGTAAATGGGTATAATGTAGTTGAAGTCCCTATTTACTGACACCTTGAGAGGTGGTATGAAAATGAACAAGTGGGTAGCTATACGTCCACCTGTGTATCTCTCATCATGTCCCATGGAGAAACTTCCTTGTAGACATGTGCAATTCGTTTCGGTCTGAATTTAAATTCGGACGAATTTCAGCAATTCGGATGCTTCCGAATTTCGGAAGTGCCGAACCGAATTGCCGAAGTGCTGAATTTTGGAAGTGCCGAACCGAACCGAATTTCCGAAGTGCCGAGTTTCAGAAGTACCAAAGTGCTTCGGATTTCTGAAAAGTGGCAGAAGAGGAGGGGGAGGGAAAATTAAGGGAATGATGACAGGAATCTAACCCTACCCCTACTAGGTAGGTAGGGGTAGGGTTAGGTTCAGGGGTAGGGTTAGGGGCAGAGGAAGATTGGGGCTACGGTTAGGGTTGGGTTATGGGGTTAGGATAGGGTTGGGTTAGGAGTAGGGTTAGGGGGAGGGGTTAGGGGTTATGGTTAGGGTTGGGGTTGAGGTGGGGTTAGGGGTAGGGTTATGAGGTAAGTGGTTAGGGGTGGGGTTAGGGGTTATGGTTAGGGTTGGGGTTGAGGTGGGGTTAGGGGTAGGGTTATGAGGTTAGGGTAGGGCTGGGCTAGGGGCGGGGTTAGGGTTGGGGTGGGGTTAGGGTTAGGAGTAGGGTTAGGGAATTGCCGAACCCCCTAATTTCGGAAGTCCGAACCGAACCAAATTTTTGGCCCATGCACATCCCTACTTCCTTGCAGACTCCATAGAATAATACGTACTTTTTAGGAACTGTTATGCCCTGTACCTTAGGGGCAGTTAAAGAAACACTTTAGTTACCCAGACCACTTCATCTCAACAAAGTGGGCTGGATATAGTGTCCCTGTCCCCTTAACCCTGCAATGTAAAACACTGCAGTTTTTGAGATACTGCAATTTAACATTGCAGGGTTGACTTCTGCTCTAGCACCTGTCATACTGACAGCCAATAGACACGCTTCTATGGCACTGACAGAGTAAAAGTCTGTCACGTGATACAGAAGTCCAATAGGAAATAAGTGATTCAATGCTTTCCTATGGGAAAGTGTGAATGCACGCATGCACATTAGGTCCCCGATTGGATATCACAGAGGAGACCCAGCCTGCACCATGACGTTGCTGGGGAGGAGAGCTGAGCATCGTTGAGGGAGCCTTGGTACTGGAAGAAGGTGAGTAAATCTTTATTTTTCAGCTTTATTTTGCACCCCTGGGTGACCTGCCTACCAGTAGGCATGGGAACGCTATATCATAAGGAATATAGATTTGTATTCCTAATGCTATAGTGTTATTTTAACATTATAAGTGGTAAAGGGACTGTGCATTGCTTGCCATGTACTAAATATTTTATCATAAATGTAACAATTTGATTATCACTTGCTACAATTTGATGTTTAAATCCACAATCTTCTTGATTGATCATCCTTTTTTAAACTGTCTTTTCCCTCCATATGCTCCCTTCCTCTTTCTTAAAACTGTCTACAGTTATCATCAAATTCCTGTAATTTTGTTGACAGTACAAGCACATAGTAAGAAATGTAGGAACATAGAAAGGAGACAGTCAAATCTCCAACTCAGCTATAGTTACAGCTTGACATTTAGCCAGAATTTAGCAGTTTGGTTTTCATTTCACATAATTCATTGTTTAAAGGGATACTATAGTGCCAGAAATACAAAGCTGTAGTCCTGGAACAATTGCTCTCCCTGCCTCCCTCGTTATTTACATACCCGATCCCAGTGTCCCTCGGTGCTGGGCCAACATGCCGCCCCCTCCGACATCCCGCAATGAGCATGCATAGCAAATGCTGCACGCACATTAGATCTCCCCATAGGAAAGTATTAAATCAACGCTTTTCTATGGGGAAAAATCTGACGCTAGGTGTCCCCATGCAGAGGTGCCTACAGTGTCCCTTTTAATGTATAAAACCCATTTAATTTGTTTGAGAGGGTGCGTGTCTACCATTGGCTTCCTTCTGCATTTTGTCTGAATCATAATTTGAAATGATTCCAAATGGATTTAAATTTCTGCATGTCCTGGTATGCATTTTCTCAAATCTCCCACACCCTTAACCAGATGTATTCCCCTGAATCATACAATTAATTATGATCAGATATTTCTCAGCAACTTGCTATGGACAATGTAGCCATCAGTAGGTCACTAGGACAATGTGACATCCTATATTTTAGACTGGCATTTCTGATGTTTGACATACCCATGCTTTAAATACCAGGATATTTAAGTACAATTAATTAAAGGGTTGCCAAATTATGCATTTATTACCAGACAAACTCTATATGCAATCAGGCAGCCAATGAAAGGTGCTATCCAACATTACATGACATTCTGATGCTGGCTGAATTATTCATGTGCAATAAACTGGGACCAATACAACTTTTATGCAGTTTATACGATTTGATTTAAAGGGACACTATAGTCACCAGAACAACTATGGCTTAAAGTAGTTGTTCTGGTGAGTATAATCATTCCCTGGTGTCTATAGGATGTCCCTGCAGGCTTATCACAGTAAACACTGCCTTTTCAGAGAAAATCAGTGTTTACATTGCTTGCTTGTTACAACGCTAGTGGCAACCATTCAGACAGTGTGCAACACCTACATTCAGTGTCCCCACGCTCTGCATGGAGGCATTGAACATTCCCAATACAGATGCACTGATTTAATGCATCTCTATGAGACGATGCTGATTGTCGGAGCACAGCCATTTGCCATAGCCTCCCAATGCTTTCTTATGGAAAAGCATTGGATTGGCTGAGATCATCAAAATTAATGATATCAGCCATGCAGGTGTTACCAGGCAGGGCTACCCGTGGCGAAATCAGTACAGCATGGGAGAAAAGGTGAGTAAAATTAACTTTAATTTCGAGAGAGATGGGGACCAGGGACCTAATGCTGCATTCCAGCACTATAGTGACAGGAATACGTGTTTGTAGTACTGACACTATAGTATTCCTTTAACCCCTTAAAGGGACACTATATTCACCTGAACAACTTTAGCTTAATGAAGCAGTTTTGGTGTATAGAACATGCCCCTGCAGCCTCATTGCTCAATCCTCTGCCATTTAGGAGTTAAATCCCTTTGTTTATGAACCCTAGTCACACCTCCCTGCATGTGACTTGCACAGCCTTCCATAAACACTTCCTGTAAAGAGAGCCCTATTTAGGCTTTCCTTATTGCAAGTTCTGTTTAATGTAGATTTTCTTATCCCCTGCTATGTTAATAGCTTGCTATACCCTGCAAGAGCCTCCTGTATGTGATTAAAGTTCAATTTAGATATTGAAATACAATTATTTAAGGTAAATTACATCTGTTTGAAAGTGAAACCAGTTGTTTTTTTCATGCAGGCTCTGTCAATCACAGCCAGGGGAGGTGTGGCTAGGGCTGCATAAACAGAAACAAAGTGATTTAACTCCTAAATGACCGTGAATTGAGCAGTGAAATTGCAGGGGAATGATCTATACACTAAAACTGCTTTATTTAGCTAAAGTAATTTAGGTGACTATAGTGTTCCTTTAAGGACCAAACTTCTGGAATAAAAGGGAATCATGACATGTCACACATGTCATTTGTCCTTAAGGGGTTAAGCTGTATTGGTTCTGGTGACTCTAGTGTCCCTTTAAGAAAGAATATTTCCAGCCTGGTGTGCCTCTTTAATATAAATTATTGCCAATTTAGTAGTCCTATTGAGTGCACCTGCAGAGCAAGGATGAGAATGGGAGGGAATCTCTACAACAGTATTTCTCAGATAAATATTTGTGTTCCTCTTTTTCATGTAAAAATCTAATACGGCTAACAAAATCTTTCATAGGACTGCATCCAAAGGAAATTTTCAGTTCTATCTAAACTCATCTGAAATGAAAGACTTGAAGGAAAAACAAAACTGGTCAAAGGTTGAACTTGATAGCAAGCTTGCAAAGTGCTGTAACTTCCTTGTATAATAAGAAATTCAAAGCAAGAGTAGATAAAAGGCGTCTAAAGGAATTATTCATTATGCTGAGAATTAAGACTGAAATGAAAAAGAAATTGTAACTTGAGGCCAAAATTGCCAAGCTGGGAAATAGCTGACTTAGAGAATTTTTCCAAATTGGCTATTTTAGGCCTAAAATAAAAAAAAAATTTGTTGTTGATTCACCACATTTCCTGGTTTAGTCCAATGTTGTGAGGTATGAAACAAGGCAACTAGAACAATGCAAGGCAGGGTTGTGACTGTGTTATTAGTTGCGTCAAAAGGCTGACATTTTTTTACATGTCAGCGTGGTTTCACCAAACACCTCTAAGGGCAGCACATGTGCCTTGTAGGGATTTGCTTATTGGTTCCACCAGATGGGGAGACACCAGAGAGCAAACCTGGAATGACAGGAGAAGATCCTGAATTCAGGAACCCAAGACAGTTAGGAAGTATGGCTTTAGTGAATAACCCCAATAAATCATCCTGTGTGTTCATACATGGAACTGTCAGGGATTCTATGCGATTTATTCACTTAATATTTGTAATTGTGCTGTATTGAAAACAAACTGAAGCAAAAAAGTTGAGATGGAGGACATTTCCTACTACTAGTCATTTGCTGTTTTGTTCTAAATTTAGCAAAAGTTGGTATTCAACAAAATACAGGTTTGGTTACTTCATGTAAATATTCTCAGGATGCTTATAGGGGTTCTGGAATTATCTTTATAAACCAAGAGAACAAATGTCAAGGGGGTCTGTAAATGTCTACAGAGCCCCGAGATGGCATTATTTTCCCCTAAAACGTGCTTTACCATTATGTCTCTTTTACATAATTACACTATATATTAGGTTAGGGCTAGTGTCAATGAATACTTGTGCAGGGGTTCATGGTTTGGGTAAGTGCACTTTAGGGGTTAATGTCTAGTGATTAGTGCAGTGTTAGGGTAATGTAGAGTTTTGTATGCAGTGTAGTTTAGTGTGTTAGTGAGTAGTGTTAGGGTAATGTAGAGTTTTGTATGCAGTGCAGTTCAGTGTGTTAGTGAGTAGTGTTAGGGTAATGTAGAGTTTTGTATGCAGTGCAGTTTAGTGTGTTAGTGAGTAGTGTTAGGGTAATGTAGAGTTTTGTATGCAGTGTAGTTTAGTGTGTTAGTGAGTAGTGTTAGGGTAATGTAGAGTTTTGTATGCAATGCAGTTTAGTGTGTTAGTGAGTAGTGTTAGGGTAATGTAGAGTTTTGTATGCAGTGCAGTTTAGTGTGTTAGTGAGTAGTGTTAGGGTAATGTAGAGTTTTGTATGCAGTGCAGTTTAGTGTGTTAGTGAGTAGTGTTAGGGTAATGTAGAGTATTGTATGCAGTGCAGTTTAGTGTGTTAGTGAATAGTGTTAGGGTAATGTAGAGTTGTGTATGCAGTGCAGTTTAGTGTGTTAGTGGGTAGTGTTAGGGTAATGTGGAGTTTTGTATGCAGTGCAGTTTAGTGTGTTAGTGAGTAGTGTTAGGGTAATGTAGAGTTTTGTATGCAGTGCAGTTTAGTGTGTTAGTGGGTAGTGTTAGGGTAATGAGGAGTTTTGTATGCAGTGCAGTTTAGTGTGTTAGTGAGTAGTGTTAGGGTAATGTAGAGTTTTGTATGCAGTATCTGGAGTGTAACTCCCACTAATCTTGGACTGTCTGGTTCTAACCAAGATTAGGGTCTTGGAGATGATGCATACATTATTGCATGTTATTTACGGAGAATAATTGCATGGATGATGTTACCATCCACACAGTACATAAACTAAAATAACAGCAGTTGCATGCAATATGTGTGTGTGTGTGTGTGTATATATATATATATATATATATATATATATATATATATATATATATATATATATATATATATATATATATATATATTACACAAGCTACATATTATCTCATTAGAGTAATTAGAACAGGTGCAATATGCATTAAGAATCTCTACTTCATTGACATTATTATTATTATTTTTCATTATTTTATACAACATACACATGAGAAATATCTTATTACAGCAGCAGTTCCCAGTCCAGTCACAGCCAGGGTTAAACATATACCACCCAAGTTTCTGTGGGTTCTAGTTACAGCTGGACCGGACGGACACGAAGTACATGCATTGCCCTCCAATTTCACTCCATATGGGTAAACCCTCACCTTAGAGATGGCCGCGGTGAAATGCATAAACAAAGCAATGTCACTAACTATCACCAGGAGAATGGCAATTCCAACTGTCACCGACATCCACAGTGTGCTGCACTCTCTTCTTAGGAGATACTTTGTCTTCTTTTCTGTTATTTCCACGACACTCTCTTTCTCTGGTTTGAGCATGGTGACAGTGGAGTCGGTGCTGTCTGTCCGATAGTATTCCTGGGTGCCCATGATGTGGGAGTCACAAGATATCACTATGGTACTTGCCTGTAACCCCTATGTCTCCCTTAAATAAACTACTCAGTTCTCCTGGACCCCAAGTGAATATCCCTTTCCTTTCTTCCAACTCACTATTTTTACATTCCAGTATTTATCATGTAATTCTATTTCCTCCTTTCTCACATCTCTCTTATTGTTTTCAGGCAATCTATTATTTAAACTTTTTTCCCAGCATATTCTCCCTTTTCCTTACCTGCCCTTTTCCCCTCACTTAAGATTTCTTACCCCACTCTAATCATCCTGTACCCCCTTCCCTGTTCTCTCTCCCCCCTCCCCGCTCCCTTACACAGCTGCACTCTGAATAGAAATGCACCAGTCTGAAAAATAAAAACAGATTTCTATGGGAGGGACTCAGAGTCTTTTCCTGAACAGAAGTTTTACAATTGCACAAGACAGACCGGGCGTGGAAGTCCAAGGTCTGAAATAACTGCATATGGGAACCCCATGGGGCAAATTCACAGAAGTGTTTTTCCTTGTGCAAGAAATGAAAATAAAGACAGAACCATAGGATTCTTTCAATTGTGATAGGGTTCCTTCTGCTTATATGGGGATATGTTGGCCATTACAGGGACAGGATGGGAATGGAATGTTTGCTTTGGAATTATACCTCTGAGACAGAATTCTGTTTCTGGAGCTAAAATTGGTGCAAAATTTCTTGAAGCTAGCAACTATTTTTCTTTATTTTTTCAATAACACGTAAACTAGAATTTGTCACACTGCACACTACATTTAATATTATTTGAATACAGTGTTTAATTTGGAGGCAAATTTCAATTTAGTTTTATTCATAGTCTTTTGATTAAAAAGCCATTTTTGTGTTAGTCATCTGAATTGCTTTACCTTTAGTCTAGTTTTAGTTGACTAAATCTCCAGTAGATTTTAGTTGGCACGACTAAAATTTAATAGGTTTAGTTAAAGCCTCTATCTGTCTCTTTTGCCCCTTCCCCAGTGTGTCTCTTTGTGTCCTCCAGGTGTCTCTCTCTCAAGCCCTGGTCTGTCTCTTTTGTCCCTTCCTCAGTCTCTCTGTGCAGTGTAATTTTGGGGGCAAATTTCAATTTAGTTTTACTCATAGTCTTTTGACTAAAAAGCCATTTTAGTTTTAGTCGTATTTTAGTCATCTTAATTTTTTTTTTTAGTTTTAGTCTAGTTTTAGTCGACTAAATCTCAAAAATTTTAGTAGACTAAAATTGTTAGTCAATAAAATTAACACTGCTTGAACACAAATGCTCCTTTTAAATATTATTATTAATATTATTACATGTATTTATAAAGCGTCACCATAGTCCACAACTCTGATGTAGTAATCCATTAATTCTAAGTCAAACAGCTTTTAATGTCCAAACCATTTTATCCATCATACATGACAAGCTGAACAGAGCTCTGGGTCCCCTGCGTAGGAATTTGTTTATGATCTTAAAGTGACAATGTTTGCTTTATAACTATTTCATTATTTGGTTATAGTGCCTGGAGTCCTTAGGCATTGTGTCTCCATTCAGTGTTAAAGAAGCTTTGTCACACCCCACATCAAAAATGTATATTTCCAAAAGATCAATACTCATATTACCTGTGTTAGAATTTCACTGAAGTTCGTATTTGACACCAAGGACCTGGATTTTAAATTACAGATGGAAAGAAAGTTACAGATGACCTGAAGTAACTGTTCCTGGCAGGTGTATAAAATGTACATAGAGTGACTTTAAACAGTGATTTGATTGACTTTCTACAAGTATAGTTCGCAGGAACCTCAGATTGGTGCACCATATATTTCTATGCCTCCCAACATGTTGCCAGTGCAACTTGGGATGAGTGGAGCACCGTGTCACTAGTGATGCCCACAATGAAAGGGGCCACACATAACAGGGGAAGTCTTGCAAGAAAATGTTGGTCAGCCGGATAAAACGCAGGCTCGCAAACTGACAGTCTACTTGGTCAGCCCTGCTGAAGCGCTCCTTGCATGGACCTAGTGCCTGCTGCATATCACAAATACGTTTAATGATGTGCTTGCACTTTGCTACTCCAACAGGATGGTGGGACTTCACCCCAAAATCTGGACTATACCGCCAAAAGTGTGACAGGAGGCATACATTTCAATGCTACCAGTGCATTGCAGACCCCCACACAGAGTTGACTCCTGTACAGGAACCGAACGAAACCAACTCTTTCTCCATATAGAAAAAAGCATGTTAGACATAGACTCCAATAACATTAAAGCAAAACTATAATGTCAGGAATACAAACATGTATTCCTGACACTATAGTGTTAAACTAACAATTTAGGTCCATGCCCCCTTTAGATCACAGTAAAAAGGTGTTTACATTTCCTTTTTCCCCCCGCTGCGATAAGATCTGCGAGACCGGCCCTGCCTGTCTCCGCCTCCATGGCTGAGATAATCAGTTTTGATGATCTCAGTCAATCCAATGTTTTCTCCTAGGATAGTTTTGGGAGGCTACTGCGTATGCGCAGCAAAATGCTGCGCCAATAAGCATCTCCTCATACAGATGCATTGAATCAATGCATCTCCACAGGGAGCGTTTAACGTCTACACTGGACTAGGAAGCATCTCTAGTCGTTGTCTTGGTGACTGACACTAGAATTGTTACTAGGCAGCAATATAAATACTACTTTTTCTCTGAAAAGGCAGCATTTTCATTGCTAGACCTGCAGGGACAGGATATAGACATCAGCACCACTATATTTATAGGACAATATAGTCACCTAAACAACTTTAGCTTAAAGCAGTGCCATCTTAACAACATTATGCCTACACAACCAGTCACAGGAATAAAAATTTAAATTATCGATAAAATGAAGCTTATATTTATTGGTACCTACAACAAATGCAATACATTCATACAATACACACAGACTGCTGAATACACACACAGAATGCAAAATACACAGGCTGCTGAATACATACACACAGGCTGCTGTATACACACACAGGCTGCTGAATACACACAGGCTGCTAAATACATACACACAGACTGTTGAATACACACACGGACTGCTGAATACACACACGGACTGTTGAACACACACATGTACTACTAGATACACACACGGACTGCTGAATATACACACACACTACAGAATACATACACACAGAATACTAAATACATACACACACACACACATAGACTGCTGAATACACACACACAGGCTGCTGAATACACACACAGACCACTAAATGCATAAACAGACTGCTTAATATACACACATACAGACTGCTGCTTACATGCAGACTGCTGAATACATGCATGCAGACTGCTCAATACACACATGGACTGCTGAATCCACACACACACAATGCTGAATGCACAAACACAGAATTCAGAGGCTGCTGTATACACCCAGAGGCTCTTGAACACACATAAAGACTGCTAAATACACACACACGGACTGCTGAATACACATAGGCTGCTGTATACATACACACAGAGTGCTGAATACATGCATGCAGACTGCTGAATACATGTACACAGACTGCTGAATACATACACATACGTGTGAGAGAGGTGTGCTGTGTGTGTGAGAGGGGTGATTTGTGTGTGTGAGGGGTGCTGTGTGTGTGTGAGGGGTTCTGTGTGTGTGTGTGTGTGAGGGGTGCTGTTTGTGAGAGGGATGCTGTGTGTGTATGTGAGGGGGTGGTGCATAGGGAAAAGGGATTTTTGTTTTTTTTATAAAAAAACAACTTCATGTCTCCCCACCCTTCTTCTTACCTCTGGTGGGAGGAGGGGGACACTGCCAACCCTTGTGGTCTGGTGGTGAGTAGTACCTACAGCCTGCAGCTACTTCAAGAGCAGGCTATCTTCACTCCTCCCGCAAGCAGAATGCTTAGACCAGCGTGCTTGCGGGAGTAACTACCTCCCAGGTCCTCTCTCCCTCCCTCTCTCTCACGAAGGACCTTTTGGCCAGTGATGGAGATCTTTGATCTCCCCACCAGCCCGTGAGGGCACAAAACATGTAAGCAGGGCCAGCTCTCCGAGGGCATGGTATAGTGGTTCTGCTGAATATAGTTTGCCTTTAACCCCTTAGTGACCAGACTGTTTTTCAATTTTCTTACCGTTAAGGACCAAGGCTGTTTTTACATTTCTGCGGTGTTTGTGTTTAGCTGTAATTTTCCTCTTACTCATTTACTCCCACGCATATTATATACCGTTTTTCTCGCCATTAAATGGTCTTTCTAAAGATACCATTATTTTCATCATATCACATAATTTACTATAAAGAAAATTATAAAATATGATGAAAGATTAAAAAAAACACACACTTTTTCTAACTTTTAGTAATGCTTTCCTATAGGTGGGTTTGCGCTTTCTGCTCCACTCGGGAGCTGACATCGGTGGGGGAGGAAAGGTCATCAGCGCCAAGGGACCCGGCGATGGATTAATGTAAGTGGCTGAAGGGGTTTTAGCAACATCTCCTATGTACAGTGATACCACCCATGTATAGGTGTGTCGGGTTCTCTGCGGCCTGCGCTCGGATAGTGCGGTCCCTGCATGGACAGGCTGGGGAGATCTTGTGACCTCCCCTTCCGGCCTCAGCCCATGGCCACCGTGGCCCACCGGGCATTTGCCCGGTGTGCCCAATGGCCAGTCCGGGTCTGATATTAGATTTAGTAAATAGATCACAATCCAGTTCATTGCAGGCACAGCCAGGGAAAAGCATTTCCAATGCAGGGAAAGGAAACAGTGTTTCAGTTTCTTCTCTTCCAATATCCATGGTGAATAGTATTAAAAGACAATATTACAAAGATGATTAACAAAGAGCTATGATGGAGGCACAATGATTGACATATACATTTCTACATTTGATTTCATTTTTCAAACCTCTCAAAACGTATTTTTTTTTAAATCCTGGGAAGTGACAGTTCCCCTTTAAATTTTACTAAGCGGCTAGCTCAAAAATCTAGCATATACTAACAGGGCTAATCAATAAAGACCCAGATCTAAAAAAAATCCAAACTTGCACCAGCACCAGTGGGCAAATTATTAATAACCCCTTGGCATTGCTAGAGTTAATTATGTGGCAGCTGGCCAGGCTTGCTAGTCGGCCACCATATAAAATATATATATTTAAAATCAATTAAAAAGCCTGTAGTAAACAATACAAGCTACATATTAGTGTAAGGGAAGTTATAAGCCTGCCATATCATGGGTGGGGGTATATCTACTAAACATTGGTCAGCTTGTGGCTGCTCAATCTGATAAAATTATTGAAACTAGGCAGCAATTGCTGCTCAGTCACAGGGATCGGGATTGTAAATAACGTAGGTGATCTAGTCTCCTCATGGGCTTCAGGTGGGAGACTT